ACAGCACGTCAAGTATTAAAAACCATTTGTCTCCATTCACTCCTATCAAACACGCTCACGCATATATACTCAAAAATTCTAGCGGCTTCAAATCAAGCAGGAGAAAGCTGGTAGGCCCACATGTGAGAGAATGGGTCTGTGTGGCCAGTGTGCACCATATAAAAAAAATCCTGCAGCACGCATAATGAGAAAAAAATAACCGTTTTCTTTAATTAAAATGCCGACTTTGTGGTCTATTTTCGTATAGTATTTATGGTCATATTCTCGTTTTCTTGGTCTCATTTGATAGAATGGAAAACATATTATAGAAATAGAGGTGATTTTGATTGGTTTTACTATGAAAAGAATCTTGAAATGGAGCTCAAAGTAGGCGAAATGTTTGATTTTTGCCAATGTTCAAAAGTAAATAAATGATGTCATTTTCCAATAAATGTTCAAGTAGCCATTCTAATATGCAGTCATGAATGAGTTGACATTATTTATACAATTATTACAATATTGCAGTAGTCTGCATAACAGTAAATCTTCTATTTTTTGTTTGAATAAAAATTCAAAATAGAAAGCAAGAGTAATATCAGAGGGGCCTGGAGATGTGACTGATGAACAAAGAAAATGTTATTTTAGAGCCAGGAATGTCTGCATTGTTCATTCTCGACCCTATTTTGAAATTGTCATATTTTTTAATTTTAGTGAAATTGGCCAAATTGCAAATTTCTGACCATGTTATTGGGTAGTTGAAATATGTAAATGGGCAGTTACTTGTACTCAGTCAATAGAAAAAATGGAGTTCTAAAGAAATAGCTATGAGTTTGGTCGACTGGATCAATGGAATTAGCCGAAAATAGGGCTCAAATTGGGTGAAATTACCAATTCGTAAATATCGCCGAGGTCGCTAACTTCACGAGAGTGTAATTCCGTCAGTTTTCCATCAATTTTTGTTCTTTTGGTGTCATTACAATCAGGAAAAGATTCTCTATCACTTCATAAGAAAAAATTTTCTTTTTTTTTTTTTGTGGAAATTTTGTAACACCAGGAGACACCTCAGGATTTGGGGTTGCAATGGTCAAGGGGTTAACAAGTCGGCCGTCTCCCACCGAAGCAGGGTGACCCAAAAAGAAAAAAAATCCCCAAAAAGAAAATACTTTCATCATCATTCAACACTTTCACCTCACTCACACATAATCACTGTTTTTGCATAGGTGCTCAGAATACAACAGTTTAGAAGCATATACTGTACGTATAAAGATACACAACACATCCCTCCAAACTGCCAATATCCCAAACCCCTCTTTTAACCCCTTGACTGTCGCAACCACAAATCCTGAGGTGTCTCCTGGTGTCACAAAAAAAAAAAAAATCTTATGAAATGATAGAGAATCTTTTCCTGATTGTAATGATGCCAAAAGATCGAAATTTGATGGAAAGAATTACGCTCTCACGAAGTTAGCGACCTCAGAGATATTTACGAATCGGCGCTTTCGCCCACTTTGAGCCCTATTTTCAGCTAATTCCATTGTTCCAGTCAACCAGACTCATAGCTATTTCTTAATAACTCCATTTTTTCTATCGATTGAGTACAAGAAACTGCCCATTTACCGATTTCAACTACCCAATAACATGGTCAGAAATTTGCAATTTGGCCAATTTCACTAAAATTAAAAAATATGACAATTTCAAAATAGGGTCCAGAATGAACAATGCAGACATTCCTGGCTCTAAAATAACATTTACTTTGCTCATCAGTCATGTCTCCAGGCCCCTCTGATATTACTCTTGCTTTCTATTTTGAATTTTTATTCAAACAAAAAATAGAAGATTTACTGTTATGCAGACTACTGCAATTTTGTAATAATTGTATAAATAATGTCAACCCATTCATGACTGCATATTAGAATGGCTACTTGGACATTTATTGGAAAATGGCATAATTTGTTTCCTTTTGAACATTGGCAAAAATCAAACATTTCGCTTACTTTGAGCTCCATTTCAAGGTTCTTTTCATAGTAAAACCAATCAAAATCACCTCTATTCCTATAATATGTTTTCCATTCTATCAAATGAGACCAAGAAAACGAGAATACAGCCATAAATCCTATACGAAAATAGACCACAAAGTCGGCATTTTAATTAAAAAACAAAAAACGGTCAGTTTTTTTTTCTCATTATGCACTGCGTGCTGCAGGAATTTTTTTTATATGGTGCACACTGACCCATTCTCTCACATGTGGGCCTACCAACTTTCTCCTGCTTGATTTGAAGCTGCTAGAATTTGAGTACATATATGTCAAAAACAGTGGCTTGTAAGACGTATATGTACGCCCAAAACAGTCAAAGGGATAAAGTGCAGGCATTGTACTTACCATTTCCAGGACTCAAGTCCGGCTATATAAACATAACCGGTTTCCCTGAATCCCTTCATTAAATCCCTGCTCACACTCCAACAGCTCATCAGGTCCCAAATACCATTCATCTCCATTCACTCCTATCTAACACGCTCATGCACGCTTGCAGGAAGTCAAAGCCCCTCGCCCACAAAACCTTTACCCACTCCCTCCAACCTTTTCGAGGACGACCCCTACCCTGCCTTCCTTCCCCTACAGATTTATACGCTCTCCATGTCATTCTACTTTGATCCATTCTCTCTAAATGACCAAACCATCTCAACAAGCCCTCTGACTAATACTTTTACTAACTCCACACCTTCTCCTAATTTCCACACACTGAATTTTCTGCATAATATTTACACCACACATTGCCCTTAGACAGCACATATTTCTTATTTATAAATTAAAATGTAAATTGATGAATTACATACACTGTTTAACCTTTGGGGGTTTTGGCCGTACAAGTACGGCTTACGCCCCAGGGTTTTTGACGTACTAGTATGCCTAAATTCTAGCGCCCTCAAATCTAGTGAGAGAAAGCTGGTAGGCCTACATATGAAAGAATGGGTCTATGTGGTCAGTGTGCCCAGCATAAAAAAAATCCTGCAGCACACAGTGCGTAATGAGAAAAAAAAACTTTGACCATGTTTTTGGAATAAAACAGCAACTTTGCACCGTATTTTCATATGGAATTTATTGTTGTATTCTAGTTTTCTTGGTCTTATTTTATAGAATGGAAAACATATTACAGAAATTGAGATGATTTTGACTGGTTTTACAATGAAAAGTACCTTGAAATTGAGCTCAAAGTAGCAGAAATGTTCGATTTTTACCAAAGTTCAAAAGTAAACAAATCATGTCAAGCGTCCAATACACGTCAACTGGTGAGTCTAATATTCTTTCACAAGTGTGCTGATATTATTTATACCATTTCTACACTAATGCAGTAGTCTGCATAACAGTAAATCTTCTATTTTTTGTAAGAATAAAAATTCAAAGTGGAAAGCCAAAGTAATATAAGAATGACCTGGGGATGTGACTAACGAACAGAGAACTTGTTATTTTAGTGCCAGGAATGTCTTTCTTGTTTATTCTGGACCCTATTCGGAAATTGGCATCTTTTGAAATTTGTGTGAAATTGGCAAAATTGCTAAATTCTGACCACTTTATTGGATAGTTGAAATTGGTAAATGGGTGGTTTCTTGTACTCATTCGATAGAAAAAATGGAGTTCTAGTGAAATAGTTATGACTTTTGTCGACTAGTACATTGGAATTGGCCGAAATTAGGGCTCAAAGTGGGCAAAATCGCCGATGCGTAAACATCATCGAGATCGCTAACTTCACAAGAGCATAATTCTTTAAGTTTTCCATCAAATTTCATACTTTTGGTGTCATTATGATCGGGGAAAGATTCTCTATCTTTTCATAAGAAAAAATAATTTTTTTTTTTTAAATTTTGGCGACCCTGAGTACAAGTCTCTGAGAGGGCCTGGCGACCCCAAGGGTTAAGTGTGAATAGTGTTGGCGGATTCTGTTGCTGCCTCTACCACCACTATGTATAGCTTCTCTCACTGGCCCTTATAAACCCAACACCACCACCACTTACTCCTCACATACATTATGACATATTTTATTCATTCTAGAGTATATATATATATATTTCTATGTTATTAATATTGCTTATTATGTCATATTAAATTGTGGTAGATAAATAAGCCGTAGAGATGATCTTAGCATCATACTGAGGCATAATAAACTCACCTTTGTCTTGCTTCCTACTTGAGGTTTCCTACTTGTTTTCCATACACCAACAAGTGTCAATAAAGGTAAGTGTGATGTTAAATGTTCATTTATCCATTTTATTAGTGTTTTATATTTATTTGTCACTGTTTTCTGTATGTGTATCTATATTTAATCTTTAAGAAAAATATTTTTTGTTAATATTTTTGGGTGTCTGAAATGGATTAATTGAATTTCCATTATTTCTTATGGGGAAAATTAATTTGGATAACGTTTAAGTTAAGGACAAGCACTCTAGAACGGATTAATATCGTTAACTGGGGGTCCACTGTAGTGGCTATCTCCAAAGGTAGGTGACCCAAAATAGGTAACATTCATCATTACTCATTCAAAAACTGTGCTGTCAGAAGTGCACAGACGTCACAATTCCAATGACTCACTTAACTTAAACAGCCAACCCTCCTTCAGAGTGCAGGAACTGTACTTTCCACCTTCAGGACTCAAGTTAGGTTAACCAGTTTCCCTTGAATCCCTTCCTAAATCATTACCATTATTCCATTTTATAATTTCACTGGATGAGGAATACTTTATTATTTATTAGGGAGAAGAGATGGTTCACCAGCCCACTCCCCTCCCTTGTGTAACATGGAATATAAGGGTAGGGGAAAGGGTGCAAGGGAGGGGAAAAAAACAGATAGGGAAAAAAAAGAGGTAATGTAATTTATTTGATTTCATGAAAATTTTTGAATTGTGAGGTACACTGGGATAGAATGGACACCTTTGATTTCCCTGAGATGAAAGTATCTTTATTTACTTTTACAGTTGAAATAAAAAATATTATCTTCTAAAAATTCCTTCACCCTGAGTCATCTTACCTAGTATCTTGTCCACATTCAACTTGCCACACTTTAACGTCATCAAGAGCTCTGATTCTATGATAAACTGCTCGTTTCCCATAATCTTCATTTGGTATGATAGGTCTACCACACTGTCCATAAGAATTATTTCCTACTGTCCAAACACCTTCTTGATTTGTCACCATCACAGAATGTGCTCTTCCAGAAGATACCTGACAGAGAAATTTATCATAATTTAAAGCAATAAGTTAGCCTATTACAGAGGTCAAGACAGCTCTGGAATCATACAGATGATAGATATGAAACACAACAGTCCACAATCTTGTTGCTTTAAACATTCAGTCACAGTTAAAGATTCAAAAGTTCTAAAATTACATTCTCTTTCCTGATTAATCAAAACAAGAATATTAAATCAATTCCAAATCAACTCATTATACGTTTTGAGTCATAAAATACAGTTCCACAAACTCAGTCTATTCTTCATGATTAATGAAGAATTTCAGGAATAACATATGAGGATCAAACTAAGAGTGCATAATAGTAAAACATTATCCTGTAATAAATTTTTATCCTTTGAAAAATTCTTATTGTTATGCACCTGAAGCCGGACATTCTATGTGAAAGTGAAAGAACAGACAAATTCTCAAAATTTATAAGCAAAACAAAGAGAGGAGTTGGATTGTATTCAGGAAGCTATTGTCATTGTGCATAATGCCAATCCAGATTAAATTATCATCTCTGATTTCACTTTAAGTGTAAAACTGAAGAAAACAGCACACACAATAAATATATATATAGATACATAATATCCTAGGTAGTAGGTTGGTAGACAGCAACCGCCCAGGAAGGTACTACCGTCCTGCCAAGTAAGTGTAAAACGAAAGCCTGTAATTGTTTTACATGATGGTAGGATTGCTGGTGTCCTTTTTTCTGTTTCATGAACATGCAAGATTTCAGGTACGTCTTGCTACTTCTACTTGCACTTAGGTCACACTACACATACATGTCCAACCATATATATATACACACCCCTCTGAGTATTCTTCTATTTTCTTTCCAGTTCTTGTTCTTGTTTATTTCCTCTTATCTCCATGGGGAAGTGGAACAGAATTCTTCCTCTGTAAGCCATGTGTGTTGTAAGAGGCGACTAAAATGCTGGGAGCAAGGGGCTAGTAACCCCTTCTCCCATATAAATTACTAAATTTAAAAGAGAAACTTTCGTTTTTCTTTTTGGGCCACCCTGCTTTGGTAGGATATGGCCGGTGTGTTGAAAGAAAGAAAGAAAGAAAGAAAGAAAGAAAGAAAGAAAGAAAGAAAGAAAGATATATATATATATATATATATATATATAATATATATTATATATATATATATATATACAGTGGACCCCCGCATAGCGAACTTATTCGTGCAAGAGGGCTGGTCGTTATGCGAAATGTTTCGCTATGCGAATTAATTTTCCCCATAAGAAATAATGGAAATAAAATTTAATCCGTGCAAGACACCCAAAAGTATGAAAAAAAAATTTTTTTACCACAAAAAAATGTTAATTTTAGTACACACAAACTGAAAAAAGGCATGCACAATTACATGACACTTACTTTTATTGAAGATCTGGTGATGATTGATGGGATGGGAGGAGGGAGAGAGAGTGTTAGTGTTTAGAAGGGGAATCCCCTTCCATTAGGACTTGAGGTAGCAAGTCCTTTTCCGGGGTTACTTCCCTTCTTCTTTTAATGCCACTAGGACCAGCTTCAGAGTCACTGGACCTCGTCGCACAACAAATCTGTCCATAGAGCTCTTGTACCTCCCGTTCCTTTACGATTTGTCTAAAATGGCCATAACATTGTCATTGAAATAGTCACCAGCACGGCTTGCAAACAGCTGTGTCAGGGTGATTTTCATCCATAAAGGTTTGCAGTTCAACCCACTGTGCACACTTTCCTTAATTTTTGAAGTAGGCACAATGGATTCCACAACTGGCATAGGCTTCTCAGGTTAGCCCCAAACCCTTCAAAATCTTTCTTAATTTCCATACTAATTCTCACCCTTTTACCACAGGGTTGGCACTAGAAGCTTTCTTGGGGCCCATGGTCACTTATTTTCCAGAAACAGCACCGAAAACACTGTAATAATACGAAATATTCCGAGTGTATGCTTGAATGTTACCGCGGAGGCTGGCTGGTAAACAATGGACGCGTCTCGGACGAAGGTCGCTGAGCGGTTTTTGTCCACTATGCGGGGCAAAATTTTGGCGAACAAAGCGTTCGCTATGCGGATTGTTCGCTATGCAAGGCGTTCGCTATGCGGGGGTCCACTGTATATATATATATATATATATATTATATATATATATATATATGTCATGCCGAATAGGCAGAACTTGCGATCTTGGCTTAAATAGCAACGCTCATCTTGCGATATAGGACAAGTGAAAATTTGTGTATGCAATAATGTCGCCAAAATCATTCTGAACCTAACAAAAAAAATATATTTCACTGTCTTTGTTTAGTATTAAATTATTGTAAACAAATCTAAAATATATTTAGTTGGGTTAAGCTAAAATAAATTGTTCTTGTTATAATAGGTTAGGTAAGCTTTCTAAGATTCTTTTGGTGCAAAATTAAAATTTTTACATTAACATTAATGAAAAATATATCTTTAAACGTATAAGTGAAAATTTTAGAAAGGACTTAATTTTAAATGAGTTCTTGCTAATTGACCAGTTTTACATTTTCAGCACAAAATAATATATATATATATAAAATATAATATATATTTTATATATACTATATATATATATAATATATATATATATATATATATATATATATATATATATATATATATATATATATACAGTGGACCCCCATTTAACGATATTTTTTCACTCCATAAGTATGTTCAGGTGCCAGTACTGACCGAATTTATTCCCATAAGGAATATTGTGAAGTAGATTAGTCCATTTCAGACCCCCAAACATACAGGTACAAACGCACTTACATAAATACACTTACATAATTGGTCGCATTCGGAGGTAATCGTTATGCGGGGGTCCACTGTATACATATATATATACAGGAAGGCCCCACATACGGCTGGTTAGGTTCCAGGCTACCGCCGTAAAGCGGAAACCGCCGTAAAGTGGAACACCCTTTTTTTCCACTTACAAATGCATACAAACACTAGATAACAAGTTTACACTAACATACATTAAGTTAGCAATAGAACCAGGCATCAAAAAACAATTAAAAAGTACAATACACACATAGTGCACTCATTACTTACCTTAAAATATTTATAGTCTTAATCTAGGGTGAGACAAGTAGTATTTATTGTAAGAAATCAAGTGTGGTATGTAAAGGTTTTTTAAACCCAAAAGGAAATTTTCCACAGACCCCAAACCCATAAATTTTTGAAAAATTTAAAGCCTTTCCAGCCCCAAAAATGGTAAAACGCATTTCATTACTTACAAAATTTTGGTGAAGGATGGGGAAATTTTGGGGGGAATGTAAAAAATAAAAGGGGGTTGGTGGTTTGGTTAAGGTGGGAAAAACCCGGAAAAACCTCCAAAGGGCCAACCCCCCACCTTAAAAACATAAAAAATTCCAAAAATACATTTTAAGAAATTCCCAGACAATAAAATGTTTATTATTAAAATTTTATATTTAATTATTAAAATATTTTATTTAAGTAGGTGGAGTAAGTAAAGGAATTAAACCCAAAAAATAAAAGAAAAGCATAGGCATAAAAGGAAACGGGCCCAATTATTAAAAAAAAGGGGGAAGGTTTAAGTTTTTTGAAAAAACAAGTGTAGTTGGGGGTCCCAAGGAACCCCATTTAAAAATTTTTTTTTTACTTTTGCCCCCCAGGGGAAAAAAGAAAAAAACCCCCATTTCTTATTAAAATTTTTTGGGGAAAATGGGGGTCGGAAAAAAGGAAAGGGAAAAAAAGCTTTAAAAAATTTTTTTTGGGGGACAGGCCCCAGGTTATGTAAAAACGGGGGAAGGAAATTTTGTAAACGAATAAACACTTAAACCGGGTTTTTGGAAAATTTTTTAAAATTTTCCCCCTTAAAAATTTTCCTTTTGAAAAAATTAAGAGAAAATTTTATTTTCTTCATTGTAAAGTTATTGGTAAAAATTTAAAAAATTTAAGTTTATTTTATTTTTTTGGGGTTTTACCACTTTTTGTTATGTATGTTTTTATTAAATTAAATTTTGAAAAAATTTAAAAATTATTGGAATAATGAAAAATTTAAATTTTCTAATTAAAAACCCCTTTTTAATAAACATTTTTTTTTATTTTAATTGGGAAAGGGTTATCTTCGGGCCTTTTTTTTTTTAAAAAAACCACATTCATTTTATTTTTATTTATTTTTATTGTGGGTTTTATTTATCATTTTTTTTATGTTTGAAATCGTGTTTATTATATAATTTTGAAAAAAATTTCATGGATGGATTAATGAAAATTTTGTTTTAAACGAAATTTTTACAACTTTTAAAATTGGGGGATTGGTTTTAATTTTATTATTTTTTCAAATTAGGGCGTCAACTTGTTTTGAAGTGTCCTGCACCCACCTTTTTTTATTTTTAATTTTTTTAAAAGTGGGGTTTTTACCTTTTTAAGTTAAAATTATCGCGTTTTTTAAAATTTTGAAAAAATTTTAAAAAATTTGAAAATTTTTTAAGTTTCCGACAAAATGAGTTGAGATTATTATTACTTACAAAATAAAACCCTGGGGCGGGGGAAACCCCTTTTAGAAATTTTTATGGGGGACCCGGGTATGGAAGTTTTTGGTCATAAATTTGAAATTTACCGTATTAAAAAGGGAAATAAAAAAAAACCCCTTAAAGGGCCGGGGGGGCCCTTTGCTTATTATAAAAATTAAAAAAAAGGGGGGGGGATTTGGGGGAAAATTTGGTGGGGGGAGGTTGGATTTTTTGGCCAAATTTGGGGAAATTGGGGAGGTTTGGGGTTTTTCCTTTTAAAGGGGGGCCCCTAAAGGGTGGGGGTGTATATAATATATTTAAGAGAAAAGAGAAGTTTTTGGGAATTTGGGGTGCGGGGGTGGGGGGGTCCAAGGGGGGGTTTTTTAAAGGGGGGAAAAAAATGGGGGGGGAGTTTAAAATTTGGGGGGGCCCAGGGGTAAAAAAAAGGGGGATTTTGGGAGTAGGAAAAAGGGGTTTTGGTAAAAAAGTAATACATATTT